TAGAGCTTGGTGGGAGAGGAATAGCCGAACGGCTAGCTGTTGTCTGCCCCCTCACCGTCCGTAAAGAAGTCGATAACTTCTTGTCTACCGGACTGAGTGTCCTACGACACGTTTGCGATGCGATGGCTGAAAGCCAAGACCTGCAGAATCAATACGCAGATGAAAAAGGAAGAGGCAAAGTGGAAAGCTTTAAGGTCGGGGACCTGGTTTTATTAAATTCGAAAAACCTGTCCACACATGCAGCCTCTGCTATCTTCCGGACGAAGCTTCGTCCCCGGTTTATCGGACCGTTTTAGGTTGTGGCCAAACGGGACCTGGCGTACACGCTGAACCTTCCGAAACGGATGAGCACCCACTCACTGTTATACGTGGACTTGCTCAAGCCGTACCGGGATCCCGCGCAAGTGAACGCGGAAGCGTTGGCGCCGCAGCGGATCCACGGGCCCACGGCCATCCAGAAGCTAACCAGCAGTTGGTTCTGAACACGGAGTGCAACAACCTCCATTTTTAATGGAGCCAAGCGCTCCACCGTTGCCTACAGCGATGCATTCGCCGGCTAGGAGTCGCTCCGACAGAGAGCGGTTGCCCTCAAGGCGAGGCAGCCGGCGCACGACGTGCTTTAAATCGGCTAGAGCGTCCGCATAGCGATATGCTACTTCAGCATGATGCTCAGCGGAGCTCCGATTACGAAGGAACTTGTCCTCGAGGGCTCGAAGAGCATCATAAGTCACCGGACGGCGGTCGACCTGGTAGTCACCGCCCGCCACCGACTCTTCTCGATGAGAACGGTGACGTCAACTATCACGTGGAAAGTCTAGTACGACGACGTCGTCACCAGGGTCAAACCCAATATCGAGTGAAGTGGCGAGGATATCCCGACTCCAAAAAATCGTGGGAGTTTGAGGCGCCACTTCGACAAGATTGCCAATTCGTCGTGGACGCTTTTGATCGGAAAGATCAGGATGTCCCGCGTCATCAGACGCCACGCAGTGCCCCTGAGCTCTTGCGGTCGAAGACACAGAGCTCGCGGGAGCATTAGGAGTTAGCCCATACGTCGCAGGGCGACAATTCGAAGGAGGTCAACGGCGTGCGTTGAGTTAATGCGGACAATACCTGTAGTGCTTTCGCCGGGGCAAGCACCACAAGTTTCGTCCGCATTGCGGGTACACGAGTGCCACCTCGTTGAGCACTTCGACGAGTGCGATAAACGTTTAACGGAATATTTCTTGTGGGACCAAGAAACGAGCTCGAAGAGCTCTCCGTGTGAAAAGTCCATCATTCGTTCTGGCCGGGGGCCCGATGATGTGGACGCGTAACGATCGAGTTACCGCGTCCGTCGCTTCCAAAGCGGGATCCGCAGGGCGGTAGCCATATTCAACACGAGGGTCAATGACCGACCGTGATTGGACGCGCTTTAGAGCCGCCTTATGAACAGCTTCAAGCTGCCGCCTCTGTTACCCGTTCGAGGTCATTAGAGATTACACCACGTTTCTCAGTTGACGAGAAGTCGGGGAACGGACATGGGGTCCGCAAGGCGCGAGCAGGGCTC